GATCATCCGCAAGCGGTACAGCGGTCACTGTGAGGTCAGTAAAAGTGGCTCATCAAGTTACTGTTACCCTTTAACGTCATTGTACTCAACTGAACTTCTGAATGACTGCATTTCAAAGGATGGCATTGGGCCGGATGTATTAGTGAATGCATGGTTCGGAATCTTATCCTCCTCTTTATAGCCCAAAAGGAGTGGTGGTTCTACAGAAACGCATCATGGTTCTCTGTCTCCGCCCATACGTCTATCGCGTAATGTGTCTTTAATATCGGCACGCTTGCTTGATGCAATTTGGAAAGATTTCTCAGTAGAGACTCACTTGAGTAGAGCACCACCGCCATGTGCTAATTCAGGTTTCTCATACGTTCTTGATCGCCGCATCACGGCTTCTGATGAGGCAGCTCGAGAAGCACTATCCGCATAGGGATCTGAAATTTTGAAGCACGTTGAAATTTTTCAGCGTTCATCAAATACTGATAATAACTGTGATTGTAGTACTCCAGAACATATAAGAGTAATAATCGTAATTACTTACCCATGGATGTATAGGGTGACGATTTGCCGTTGTAAACAAAACTCATCTCGCTCCGTGGTCGCTGATAGGACGAGTGGTAGTGTTTCACTTTTCGATTTCGGAACCTCTGAAAATGAAAACGGACATTTGATGAGAAAAATCGAATATGTTCGTGAATCGATTTTACTCTTGGAATCCGTTTGAAAGGCACCAAAACCACCGGAAATCGGAACTCGAACAGTTTACGGCTTATAAGCTAAGTGTCGCAAGAAAAATGAAGAGGATGCAAAAATCTATTGCAAAAGACTTTAGAACTCGACTTGAGAGGTTCTCTAACGTTTCTACAATTTCTCATCTACTCTTTTTGGAACAAGACATCTACAGCGACTTTTTTTAACAAATTTTTGAACATCTAGACCCGAAACTTATGGGAGCGATGTAAGCTTATACCCCAGACAATAAGGTGGGCGGAGTACGGCTTGGTGAGGGCTCCGAACGGAGCTTGTACATGCTTGAAAAGGCTTGTTAAATCCTGCAACCAAAACGGCTCGCGCGCACTACACCGTAAACAGTCGCAGGAGTGACCTAATCTGGGACTATCAGTCGACATGAACGAAGAAAAGAAACTAGCACAAATGCGAAATGCCCCCTCCAAGCCGAACACCACCAACAGGGTATATTATTGCAAAAGCATGGTAAAAACTATTTTTAAATCTAATTAGCACATAAAGAGCCGTAGGGGATTCTCGTCGTCCATGTCAACAAGCGGTAACGTCATTGTCTGTCCATCCAATGACGTTGTCGAGAAATCCACTAATGTTTCACCGAGAAACGAGTTCGCCTCAAACTTGTCATAGTCCACACAGTAAACCGAAATTCGTCCATAAACCACTAGAACTGTTTTTTGAAACCTGCAGCATGCCAACCTTACTAGACTCGTTCCATGAGCATCGGTTCGGTGATTCCCTGATAGTAAAATGACTCGTTCCAAATGGGAGTGATTGCTTCGGCGAGCACGGTGGTTTGACGACGTGACTTCTTTCACGTGACAATTAGAACGTCTGGGTTCTGTCTTCACTCCCACACCTGGGACTTCCCTCATGTTTTATTCAGGCGTTATGCAGGCGCTAGAAGCAATGATGCAAGGCATTTAAGTGGCTGCACAGAGGAAGGAGGAGTTGCTGAAGGCCTCGTGATTGGTCGATTTACTGCACTGATCACCTGAGCCGCCTTGCGGCACAACAAAACTGCATGCGCATGCATTAAGGTTCGTACGTGAGTACGCCCTTTAAGCTTAGAGAAAGGAATTGCGAAGCTACTAATTGAGACTCACCGCGACATAATATTAGACTAGAAAATTCACAAACGTATATAAAAGACTCGGTAACCCCGGCGCTCCTCTCGCCTTCCAGCTGTCCCATTCTTGGTAGAGATTTTGACAAGATTTTCGATGCAGCTCATTTGTCTGTTCCTTCCTAGGGTGGGGACTATGTACTGCCTTATTCCCTGTGGTTGCTGAATCGTGACAGAGGAGGTTCGGCGCGGCTCCACCTCGATTTCCGCCAGTTGTAGACGCTGTTGCCCCCTTCATAATACGTTCTTATTCCTGAGACGAAGTAAGGCGTGGCTTCTGAGCGTGAGCATAGGACGGGTAAAATCTCGTGGGACATACTCCTCAACGTTTGAAACAACTTGGTTTTATCCTGTCTATGTTAGATGTAGACATGATTATGACTGCTCCAAAATGGAAATATCTCAGGAAAACCTGGGCCTCCGCCATTTTAAAATCAAGTACGCAGCCACGCCTACCGCGATCTCAAAGACTGCGATCAGCACTCGGAGAAAAAGCTGACACGCCTATCCCCTTGACAGCCAAAACGCTGGCGCAGCCCAGCTCAGGGATGGAGAATATATGCGCGTTAAGAGCATGGCACAAAAAGCGGTATAAAAAAAACGTCTGCCGGAACCTGGCCAATATTTCCAGCAGGTATGTGCCGCTGGGATATGCAAAGGGAAATTCTGGGGTGAATCATGCGCTCAACGTCAAAGGTGCCATTCGCCGAAACCGCCGTAGATCGCAATCGGAATACCTTATCTAGCTGACTGCAGGGGCTAAAGTACAATATGTGGTGCTAAACTGATATCACCTTCGATCCGGCAGAAGAAAGATCTTCACGTATGGATTCCTTGGCGAACCATCAGCACGTGGAGGAAGATCGGCTACCCGTTCAATGCGCACGGTCAGTTGTCGTTCAACATGCGAGAAGTACAACGAAATCTGAAAATATTGTGTTTTGGGGGTTTGCTCGGAAGGAAAAGAAGAAATAACAAGACAGAAAAATAAATCAGCGCCAGTCGCAGACGTGCTAGGTATAGCTTTTGTGGACGCGCGACGGCAGCCTGTTTTCTCTTAATGAAAAGTTCAAATTTCGAAAAATTTTGTTTCTATTTAAATACCATTGCGCTGGAGGATGGGTAGCCGAGAACATAGCCGTGAACCATCTCGTGCGCTTTGAGCTATCTTGTGATCGCTGTTTACGTCATCACTTGAGCCGCACCAGCGCACATCATTGGTTGAGGATTAGGTCAAGGGGGGAAAGAAGAAAATAAAGGAGAGAAAAAAGGAAAGTCGCAGTACGACCGCCCCCCCCGCCATCTCCTAAAGGTGGGTGGTGCGTTGTACCCGCCTAGATCCCTCCTCATTAAGTCTGAAAGTGTGGCGCGGATATACTAACATAATGGGGCGGAATAAGGAAAAAGCCCGAAATGTCAATCAACCTCTTCTCTCGGAGCCGGAAGAGAAATCCGACTAACCCTCCCCGCCAATACACAAGCAAATACGCCCCCCGCCCCCTTATACGCTGTACCTGAAACAACGACCACTAGCAAAATTGTTATTTATCTGCAGATTAAATACGACCACCAACTCCCCCCAGCCGACCATCCCGCCCCTGTTGGAGAATCCCTCAACGATAGAGTGCCCTGAGCCGCAAAACTGTCACCAGGCTCTCGAGGAACCTAAGAGGGCAGTGAGACGATGTATTTATTCTTACTACTCCGTGCGTCTCGCTCTATTGTCAATCAAACCCGCCACCGCGTTCGCACAGCTAACGTATCCAGGGGACGCCCCTTCTTGCTCTCAGATAAGGATGCGAGTTCATGCACAACACCCAGTCACCGCCAAGATTTAGACTATACAACGTCATCGCCGATTTAGACTGAGGGTGGAATCGCTAAAATTCATCACAGTTTACGCGCCCGAGGGAGAAGACAACGAAATATTTCTAAAGCCGTTAATATGTAGTATTTCGAATGCGTACTGTAGCTCTGCCCAGAATATTTCCTGCAGCTTATGTGCTTCAATAAGTAATGCCACCAAATGCCATAAAGGACTTTTTATAGTCTGCGTGGGAGTTGATGCATGAATGACTGTGGCGCTGTTCAAATTAGAAAACGGAAATCCGCTAATGAAGTGTGACGCGCCGTGGTGGTATTGATTTATTGATCGACCCAAACGCCGCGTCGCGACCTATCACCTTATGGTGAAGGCCATAAAAACTGCACTTTAATCACAGACAGTCTTGTAGAACTGACCTCAATCCTTCCAAATATCTGTCCTCTACCATAACTCTGCTCTTGTAAAGCTGATACTCGTGGTTCTGGGCGGGCCAGATGATCTGTAACAGTCAAAGATATCGACGCTGAAATCTTGTGAAGAGAATGTAGACCCGGGCAAACCTTGGAAATATCCTCCTGTCATTGTTGTCCGATGTCGTGGGCTAATCTGTTGATGATGAGGAAGTATGGCTGATTGAGAATGTGAAAGTGTTTGTAGTGGAAGCAATGGAGAGGCCGATGGTGAAGCGAACATTTCATGATCTGAAAAGTGTTCAATATAAAATGAAGGAGAAAACTAACATACATTGATTTTGGTCTTTTCGAGCAGCAGCAGCACACGCACTCGCTCTCCTTCCGGCATCGTGGAGGTCTTGGTGGAAGAATCTGATTCGCAAGCAGAAGTGATGGCTGATAATGGAAGGCGTGACTTTTACGTAATGTTTCCGGCTTACGATTCCCTCCCTACCTAGGGTTAAAGATAGCGCTCGCGATCAAACAAAGTGCGGAACCCTTCGAGAGTACAAGATAGCTGAGCTTGGGATCACAGAGGATATCCCACTTTCGCAGCTCAAAAGCGCTCATAAAAGAGCGACAGCTCAGCAACGTTAAGCTGACTCCACCTCCACAGGTGGAGCCAGTAAGTTCCACCTCGTTCATTTTTTATAACCAAGATCCGTTGGCGGTGATCACTGCTGATCTTATCGAATATGCCTTGGAGAATGAGTCGCAGCAACCGGCGACTGGATTCAGAGAACTCGCCCAAAGTTTGATTAACTCGTCCATTTTCAGTCCCATACACGAGGTCTCACTTAGCGCATTTTGACGGTTTCTTTTGCTTTTTTTCTTCGTTAGACTTGTATAGTGTAGTTCGCTGCGGACGGTTGGGCGTGTCAGTGCGGCTGCGTTTGGCGCGGTGCCAAACTCGTTCTCCACCAGTTGTTGAAGCGGGCAAGTGACAATACTGTATCATATCCTTCGTATTACTCGTTTTCTACCACTTTTTGTCGCATGCGCGTTTCAACAAGAAGGCAGAGAACGGCTTTGACGGGGTGACACACTCATACTGGCTGACACGCCCAACCGTCCGCAGCGAACTAGAGTGTACTTACAACGTGATCTAAACATTCTAAGCTCTCCAACCTGCGAAAGGCGATCGCGGGCGCTGCCTTCAAATACGACCCCTCCCCCCC